CTAGACCTTTTGCTTTCCCTCACTGCCCTCTTCACATGCATTTTCCCCTGACTTCTCATTCTGTTCTGCAGTTCTTTCTCCAGCTCTTTTCTTTTTTCTCCTAGTTGCTAAACATTTTGCCTTTCACTGCCTTCATAATGAATGGGACTGCCGTGAAAGCAAGTGTCTGAAACCAAGAAGATAAAAACCTTAGTTAAGGAAACAACCTTATTTGCCATAATTGGCGTTCTCATTTCAGTATAAATTCAGTTCTTAGGGACAATGTTTAAAAAACGTATTATTACAGACATTATCTCTATTTCTGTCAACCCCTGTGACTAAGAAGCCTGGATATTCCACGTACATTACGGAATATGATTTTTAATTCTGAAATTGTCCTAAATACTCAATTTCACTAAGAAACAAATGCTATCCATTTTTGGAATAATATACTGATCATAATACTGCTCCCATATGATGAAAGACTTACACAGACACAAAAAATAACTGAGTGCTCTTTCAAATTTTAACAGGGCAAACTCAACTATTTAAAATGTTTGTTAGAAAGACAAGACTACAGTATACAGTACCTTGCCTAACTTGTAATTCAGAGCTTTCACCATCACATATACAACTTGTCAAGAAAAAAGACTGAATCATACTCCATGACTGACAATTACTAATCATTCTTAACTTTGACAAAGTAGGCTTAGTACTTCCCGGTAAATGCTAGCTCAGACACTGAGCACTCATCTGTGTAGGGGAAACTGAAGCACAGAGCTAGAGATGGTTCCTCATTCTTAGTCTGAGAAATAGGTGCATTGCCTGAGTACGGCATAGAGACCTTTAGAAAGAAGTCTAAGTGGATGATGCAGCCCAGGAGAACTGCCAGGCACTGGCCACACTGCCTCCTCCATTACACTGACTGGAAGAAAGAAATGCTCCAATGTAAATGCCATTCACACTAGGACTTGTCCAGTACACAGTGACTAGACAGGAACCAACAAGGACTTGACTACTCAACATGGAACACAAAACCTTGCCTCTTTGGGTGCTGATTCATTCATGAAGTAGTAAAAGTAAGGAGAGTATAAAGAAAAAGATAAACTGATTGGTTATTTAAATTCTGAGAAGTGCTATATTAATGTTTAAAAATATGTTCAAATATTATTTCTGAACCCTAAGTCAGATATTTGTCATACACTGGGGCCTTGAAAACTATAAGTTATACTTCATGCTTATATTATCAGTATTATAGTTATTAAAACTAGAACATTAGGCTGCCAGTGCCAGAGAACTTTACCACAGCAACTATTGGCATTGCCACAGGCAAGGTGAGATCAAGGGCTCTTGTCCAACAAGTCCCTATCAGGAATGTCAATGACCCTGGTTAGAACCGTAATTTTATACCACTGAACAAGAAAAACAATTTTAAGCTTTCTCTGTGTGTTCTGAAGGCACATAGCTTCTCAAAAAAAAAAAAAAGTGAGAGTTTTTATTTATTTTTTTAAAATAAACTGAGGTATAAAGAGAAAATTACAGATAATCAGTAATTTTAAGTTGGTATTTCTGGAACACAAATTTGAGATGACTGATTACTTAACACAAAATGCTTATTGCATATAAAATACATATTAAAGGAAGAAATTTATGCTAAATTAATTTGGTTCACAGTCTTGGGCATGCTAGACAGGTGCTCTATTGTCGAGCTAAACCCTTTGGGTTCTTGTTTTGAAATTAATACATAAAGTATCATACTATAAAGTAAAGGGTTTTTTGTTTTGCTTTTGTTTTTGGTGGTACTGGATTTGAACTCAGGGCCTCATGTTTCCTAGATAGGTATTGTACCACTTGAGCCACCCAGTTCAAAATCTCTATTTAAATGCATGGCAAATGCCCTTTTCTAAAATGAAAGAATGAGCCTTGGATTTCCCAGAAATTAAGAGAGAACTGTAAAGGTACAAGAGTTGAGAGTGTATATATATCCAGAGTCGCTAGCAACAGCATACTATAATTCTAAAGATGCTTTGTTCTTTTCAGTATGTTGCTTCCTGTATGAAACAAAGAGCTGTTACTCTGACTACAATAGCAAATTTTTCCTCTTTAAATAAAGACTTAAGAATTTCCATCATTAGCCATCAGATCTTGTGAAAAGAAGGTAGAAGAAGCATAATTCTTTCAGAATTAAAGAAAATGGGAGAAGCCATCAAAAGAATGAATGTGAAATCAGATTATGTTTTGTTTTGTTTTTAAAAAGGAAAAAATTTTAAAATAGGAATAGTCTCTAAATTCTTTCTCAATCATGAAACAAAATATACTTCAACTTCCCAATTGTTGTCTTAAACTTTAGAATCAGGGCTAAACCAGGGAACCATTATTCCCTATGTAATCTTTATAGTAAGAAACTGAACATACATGAATGACTTGTTACAAGTAGGTTTGTTGTTGTTGTTGATTTGTTTTTAAATGGAGAACTGGTTTTCGCAAAACGTTATCCTCACTTGTGGAGCCTACCATTTAATACAGGTTTAATATTCTGCTCAATTAATTTTAAAATCTTGTACTAGCCTATATTGAGTAAATTGCATTTTCTTCTTCCATGTGACCAATCTTCATGAACATAAAATATGACTGCTAAATCCTAATGTCTTGTACTGTGCAGCTGGTTTCCTTTTGTGAAAGGAAGGATTAGGATACAGCAGGTACACATCATCAGGCAAGGTGTGTGGCACAGTCACTGGGCAACAGCCATGCCTCTCTCTGGAAGAGGATGAAGTCAAGAGTTACATCAGTAGTCTGGATGCTCTACAGACACTGCTCTATCAGGGGGCATGGAAGAAATCCCAAGGGTCAGGCTGCTGGCTCTTCCTAGTCTAGCTCATCATACAAGAAGTTCCAGCAGCTAATGAATATCAAAGTAAGAAAAATGCTTCTTATTTTCCAGTGTGGATAAAATAAAGAAAAGTGAGCAAGAAACCTCTAGAAACTAAATGTTTACTGTGAATTATCTCAACCAAACTATCAATCTTAATTCTTCAATTTAACTCTTCCTGTTGTTATTTCACCAGGATTCAGAGGAATTCTAGAAATAATAAACCATAAGACAACATGACATTTTCACTTAACTTCCAAATGAGTGTTACATAGCAAACAATAAAGCTATATTGGTTTGTGGTGTTGTTTTTTTTTTCACCATATTAAGTTTCAAGCTAATAATGGCAAACGAAAATGAATAAATAAAGACAGAAGGAAATGATCTTATTTAAAAAAATAAGTTCATAGGGAAAAAGGATCAGTGGGGGAAAAAAGGCATAGTTAGTCTTGGTATACGAATGGCTCTGATACTGAAGACAGCATTAGTCAATTATTCATACCACATTTTAAGTGTGCTGTCTCTAGCAATGACAATTCAATTGCTGGTATTATTTAATCTGTAAATGTAGGTGTTAAAGTTTCCCCTAGAGTATCATTTCCTAATACCTTAACCTTGTTTGAGGAGCCACATTATAATAAAAGGAATCAACATTAACCACAAATCTGTAGTACTGGTTGGGTTCGGAAGATAACTGAACACTTATTAACAGTTTATATTTCAAGAGACTATTAAAAAGTACTCTAAAATTACAATGATATATTCCTTTGCTTAAAACACTGATAAATCACATGAGAGCTAATGTGAGCATTCTTATCTTACTTGGAAATAGAGACCTCGCAGCTGTGCTTCTAATACTGACATTCCACACCTAATCACATATACACAAATAAAGGACTATACACACACACATACACATACACACACACACACACACATGCATACAGAGGGTAAGCATGAAAGCAAAGCAAAGAAAAAACACTAAGTCGGCTACAACATATTTTCCCTGAGTACTTTCCTGGAATTGTATAATTGAGAAAAGTTCATTACTTAACACTCCAAAAGAACAGCCCAAATAACTCAGATTGTCTAGACAATCTGGCAAGGCTCTCAATCCAGAGGTCAACCAAAAATCTCAAATATGTTTCCTCTCAATTTTCTTTTTTAGTAATAAAGAAGTTTTACTTCTTCCTAGTATTGAAAAGCTGAGTATAAAGAATTTTAAGTTAGAAAAATAAAAAACAGTATTTGGAGGAAAAAAGTGTAAAATCCAATTTCTGCTAAGAACATAATTGATGAAAGCTTTAATATCTACTTAAATCTAAAATAGTATATACTTATTACTTATAAGAAGTGAGCTGTTTCCATTCTGGTTGTAATTTTAAAGATGATAAAGCTGTGAAGTCACACTGAAGACACAAGATCAGAAAGGGAAGGTGGTCTTAACTATTTTATGTTCCCTCAGAGCTCAGACATTTTCTTGAGTTTTATGGTGCAAATGTGACAAAAGCATGTACCAACTCTGCCACAGACACAAAAGCAATTACTGCACTCAACAGTGAAGTTTAAAAATGTGAGTTAACAAAAGAAAGCTCTACATTTAAGCCCAATCTTGAAGGTAAGAAGTGTCAGAAAAAGCTCAGTTTTAAAAGAGAAAAGAATCCTTTTTAGTAGCCTTCAAAGAACTTAAGAAGGAGGGAGCTTTGGGGGCCTAGTTTTTGGAATTCAACTTGACGTGACCATAAACAGCAAATGGACGGAAATGAATAAAAATATATTCAGGTTAAAGACAGATGTCGAGCTGAGGCCACTGACACAGCCTGAATTTACAGATACAAACTTCATTTTTATGTTTTACAGGAGAAAAATGCAATTTGGACAGAATAATGTCCATTCACAAATATGAAAGCTTTGGGGCTGGTGGTGTGGCTCAAGTGGTGGAGCACCTGCCTAGCAAGTGTGAGACCCTGAGTTCAAACCCCAGCACCACCACCACCACCAAAAAAAGACAAAAGTGAAGGCTGTCACCAAGCTTGGCAAACCAGAACAACAAATTTTTTTGCTTGGGGTTCAATTATCAACTAATCATCTGGACAGTTAGGAAAATTAAAGGGTAACACACACACGGTGGCATGCACAGAACTGTTACCTTCAGCTGGTTATTGAAAATATCTATCTCCTGCAGCTTTGACCTAGTTTCTTTTTCTACTTCATCCAGTTGGTCTCGTAGCTGCTGCCGGGAGATTTCTTTTGCTTCTAAGGCTCTTTTGAGTGTAAGAAGTGAATCTCCTATTACAAAAAAACATGAAAGATAGGAAAAACTTTAGCTGGCAGTGAGGAAAATGTCTTTTGAAGTTTTCATGTCACTTAAGGAGATTCTTGTTGGTTAAAAAAGAAGAAAAGGAAAAAGGTACTGGGATGTAGCTCAGTGACAAAATAAAGGGAAGAAAGGTAGAGAAAGGAAGGAAAGAAGGACAGAAGGAAGGGAAGGAAGGAGGGAGCGAGGGTGGGAGGGAGGGAGGAAAGGAGGAGAGAAGAAGAAAAGAAGGAAGGAAGAAAGGGAGAGAGGGAAAGAGGAAAGAAGGGAAGGAGGGAGGGAGGGATAGAAAAGGTCAACTTTAAAGATAAAACCTACGGTGCAAACTGTTCTGCTGAACTTGTTTTAATTGGTCATTGAGTATCTGTTTTTCTGGAATAAGCCTTCCAAGCATTTGCTGAGATTCCTAGGAGATGGGGAGGAAAACAACAGAGAATGATGGGGAATATTATCACATCCACAATCAAAGGAGTTTGATCCAACATTCAAAGGAGTTTGGGCTGTGGAGTGGCTCAAGTGGGAGAGTGCCACTGTAGCAAGCACAAGGCCCTGAGTTCAAACTTCAGCACCAAAAAAAAAAAGTTTAAGCCAGTGTTCTTGCCCCTCACACACTCCTAATCTCACACCAAACTCTTCACACATTTATCACTAGTCAGGGTAGCTCTTGTTTTCCTGCCAAAGATTTAACTACTTGCCAAATGCTTTTCACTAAAATAAAGTTAAGAAAGTTACAGTTCATTTGATGCTGCTTACATTTTTGTTGACTTACTGGATATCTATAAGCTTTTTAAAAGTGCACTTTACATACAACTCTGCAGAGAGAAAACTAAAGTAATGATCTCTCAATTGTATTAGGGATCTAGTACAAAGGCACAAGAAAACTCAGCAAAAATTATCCTACTCTGAGTCTGATACTTACTAGGGCTAAACTTACCATCTACCTGAAGTTGGAAAAGAACCAAAAAGATTTGTCATAACTACAATCCGTACATGTTTTTCTACCGCACAGGATGAAATTTTAAACAGGTACACAAAAGTCTTGAACCAACTATTTTTTAACTGGTACAAGAAAAAAGTAAAAACCACACTGCCACACTGTTTTAGCTGTGTGGAGTTTTCATGGGTAACTTGCCAAGCACAGCATTTGCTTAAGTTTAGCTACAATTATCTTGAATAGTTTTTATACGTTTCAGTAAAACAGCAGCCTTTCCAAGAGAATAAGGAATATTTGGCTTTTATTTTTACCTTGATAAATAATGACCTATAAGTACTGACTTTTGATTTGGAAAACATTTTTTTAGCACAGGCTTAGAACCAGTCTCTTGGGACACCTACCTTCTGATACGGTTTGGCTTATGTGGAGGTTAGCTCAACAGAGAGCACTAGGAAGCCTCTTCTATGAATAATCTACTCCCCTCCAAGACACTCACAAAACAGACTGACAAGCCAGATTATTTTCCCAATTCAAACCCAACTGTTTCTCCTCTTACTCTCCCCTTCCTACATTAGGCAAGGCACCTTATCCAAACACTGTTTCTTTCCTGAACAAGGAAATATCAAGATGAAGCCAGTCTCAGATCACTGAGATTGTTTTTCTTACACAAATATTACTTTTAAATGCATGACCTAGGTATCTAAAACAGGTCAAATCAACATTAAGAATTACCTGATTGATTTGCAAAGCAAGTAACTGCTGATCCATGCAAGGAAAGAACCAATATCTCACTGCCTGCTATGTAGGACCTTTCTTTCTTCATACTTTATATTATTTTTCACTTCACTACTTTTTCAGGAATCTTGGTTTGCATTTATTACCAAGAACTGAACATTCTATGTATTGATCATAAAGAAAACATATTCAGATACAATATATTTGTTAATAACATTGAGATATTAAACACATGGTCTTTAACCCTAAATTTTTCAGAGAATATTTTATGAAACTTTTCATAAATAGTTCATGAAAGACACAGAGACTTACCATAAAAAAGAATTACTTGGAAAAGGCACATGTATTTTTTAATATTTTAAAATAATTTCTGACAATGAACTTCTGGTACTGATTACTTTATGTGTTCATATCCAAAAATCTCAAATTGCCTAATTGCCCTTACTTATTGCAATGGTCACAGTGAAGCCGAAGTCCTGCTGGTAAACTACAGGTCTTACGCAATACAACCCTCATGGGCTCTAACTACAGCAGCCTTCTGTGGTGACTGATGTCCCAGAGACCTTTACAGCCTCAGGATGGCGCCTCTGCTCCTTGACAGCCACATGGCTTAGCTCCTCGTCGATTTCAAGACTTTGCTCAAATGTCACCCTCACAGAAAAGTCTATCCTGATCACCTCAGTTAAAAATCACAGTCCTTCCTAGGCCAGAACTCTCTACCCCCTTCCTCATTCACTCTCCACAGCACTTTTCATCTTCTAACAGAGCACAAATGGAGCACTGCTAACCTGAAAATCTGAAATCTAAAATGTCCCATAATCCAAAACTTTTGAAGCCACAAGAAGAAAATCACACTGGATCTCAAATGAAGGGTCACAGTCAAAACACAAGAGCACTAAAAATAACACAAAATTATTTTCATGTTATGTGTATAAGGTACATGCAAGACAAAAATGAGTTTTGTCTACACTTAGGTCCCACCCATAAGACATCACATTATGTACATGCAAGTATTCCAGAGTCAAAAAAAAAAAAAAAAGTGCAATTTGAAACACTTTGCGTCCCAAGCATTGTACACAAATGATACTCAGCTCAGACCTTTTTTGCCTCTTTTAACAGTGTCTGCCCTGTCTGTAAATAGAGAGCACCTCAGGAAGGCAGGCTCTCAGCCTGCTGCCCACTGAGGTGGCCTCAGTGCTGACAAGTTCTGGTGCAACATTGGAGCTGAGTTCAAACCTCTGCTGACTTCACCTGAAGGCCTACTCTTGAGGCAATGATCCCACCTACCTACCTGCATCACCTTTGCCCCCAGTGCTGAGCATGTGGGAGACGCCAAATGAACGTTGACTGAGAAGCCTTTAAAAAAAAATTTTTTAAGGGTCACATTTTTTCACCTGTAATTGTTGCTGTAAGTGGGTGATTTCAGCAATTCTCAGCTCTCTAGATTTGTTTGTGCTTTCAATTTCTTGCCTTTGGGTGGTCAATCGACATCTGATATCTTGAAGTTTTCCTTCTAGTTGATGCTTTTTATCATTCTTTAATAAATGAAAAAATAACAGGAATTAGTACCATTTTTAATGGGCCAATGCAAGTATATATCCAAAGCACAAGCAAACTTCACTCACTAGAGCTTCTAATTCAAATTCCAAGGTCTTTTTCTTTGCTTTCAGTACAACTATGTCCTCCTGTTCTTTGTTTCGTTGATTTAGAAGTTCTTGCCTTCGATTCCGTTCCCATTCAAGTTGCCGTTGCCGTTCGAGTTCCCGCTTTGCAGCCTGTGACATTTATAAACAGACAACTTGGTCATTTCTCAATTCTTACACTCGACAGTGTTTCTTAACAAAAGTACCATCTAGTTAAGTCCTTCCTTTTAAGGATGAAATATCAGACATTACAAGAAATCACATAAAACAAAAAATTCTATGAAAGTACAGGGAAAAAGGGAATGTTGAGAACTATTTAATTCACTAAGAACCGACAGGATCATTGGAATTTCATTCCTCATGACTTCAAGAATGCATGATGGAGTAAATAAAAGGGCTTGTTAATTACAGATTCACCAAGAGAAAGGAAAATTCCTCTGTCCAGTAATATCAAACTAAAATCTCCAAGGACAAAAACAAACAAATAAAAACTTGAATTTTTTTCCATCAAAACATATTATTATTTATAGGTTAATTATTCCTTATCCAGAATGCTTGGGTCCAGAAGTGTTTCAGATTTTGGAATATTTGCATACAGTTTACTGGTTAAGCATCCCTAACCTGAAAATCCTAACTTTTTAAGTGGAGTTTTGGATTTTGGAACATTTAAGATTTAGGACCCTTAGATTAGGATTATGCAACCAAGTTGTTTTTGCTTTTTGCTTTTGATTGGTACTGGAGTTTGAACTCGGGGCTTCATACTTGATAGGAAGGTGTTCTACTGCTTGAACCACATCTCTAGCCCTTTTTTACTGTGGTTGTTTTAGGGATAGGGTCCTGCTTTATGCCTAGGCTGGCCTGGACCTCTATCTTCCTGTTTTGTAATCACTGAGATGACAGGTGCACCACCATCCCAAGCTGTTGAGATGGATCTCAGCAACTTTTTTTACCTGTGCTAGTCTGGAACCATGATCCACCCAATCTCAGCCTCCTATGTGGCTTGGGATGACACATGTTCCACTATGCTTGTTTATGGCTAAGATGGGGGTCACACTAACTTTTTGCACAGGGTAGCCTCAAACCGCTATCCTCCCACTCTCAGTCATCTAAGTAGTTTCAAGTTTTAAAAGACTTGTGACTCCCACCTTCCTAGTCATTCATTTCTTTTTACCGCAGAAGCTGTAATTTCTCTGCAGGGTTGGCTACCCTCCATGCTGACTCTGATGACTGTTAGGGACAGCAAAGGTCAGAGCCTCCGGCACTGTTAGTATGGCTGCTCTGACTCAGCAAGCTCATAACCATAAGGCCCTGGAGGACAGGTGCAGCATCTATTCACCATTGCATCTCTGGAACTAGTGATGCCTGCCAAATGTTAAGTGTCTACTAAGTAATTCTGACTAAATACTTGAAAATGTCATTTCATTTTTAAACTGAAGAAAGGAAAGTGGTATATCATTTGGGTGTTTATTCTGGTATTTAAAGACATGGTAGCTCAGTGGTAAGGTGTGTGCCTAGCATGCATGAGGCTCTGAGTTCCATCTCCAGTACCAAATAAACATATAAGTATAAAACCTTGTCAGTATCTATGTGTGTATGCTTTAATAAAAGGCAGGTTATGTGTATGCCTGTCATCCCAACACCTTGGGAAGCTATAGAAGGATCATGAGTTTGAGGTCAACCTGGATAAAATAGTGAGACTGCCTCAAAACAAAACAAAAGGTAGCCTGCATATACATGTTTCCTAAAGCAATCATCAAGAGATGAAACCAAAGTATGACTTTTTTTAATAAAGGAAAATTCGTCTCTTTCATTCACAGGAAAGAATCATAGCATGGCTTCTGTAACAATGTACTAAAAGTGGAAGATGGACAAGAGATAGGATGGGCACCAATCACACGACAGAGCAGGACTTTACTAACATGTTTAAAAAAGTGTATTTTAAAAAAAGCTGCAGAGCAATATAATTCAGATGATACCACCACAGTGTTAAAGAGAATTATACAACATCTATCCTCCTCTCACTATATAAACCTTCATATTTTTATTTAAGTGTATCAATACAGAAATAAGAATCTGGAAACACTTAACTGGTCTCAGTGGCTCAAGTGGTAGAGGGTTTGCCTAGCACACATGATGTCCTGGGTTCAACCACCCATACCGAAAAATAAAACAAAATTTTAAAAAATGAAAAGAATGTCCAATTTTTGATAGCTAAAAAACAGAAACAACCTAATGTCCATCAACTCGTGAGTGGCTAAAAAAATTGTGGTATGTTCATATACTGGAATACAATTCAGCCATAAAAAGGAATGAAGTACTGATTCATGATTCAATGTGGATGAACCTTGAAAACACCATGCTAAGTGAAAGCCAGATTATGAAAGGCCACAAATTGTATGATTCCCTTTATAAGAAATGACCAGAATGGAAAAATCTATATAGACAGACAGTAAGTTAGCAGTTGCCAGAAGCTAGGGGAAGAGAGGAATGGGGAATAACTGCTTTGAGTTTCTTTTAGGAGTAATGGAAATATTCTGGAATAGACAATGGTGATGGTTATGTAACTTTGTGAAAATATCAAAACTCTTAAATTATAAAAAGAAAAATTCACAGACTTATCTGTATTTACAGATCACTTGAGGAATTCTGAAATGCATACACATACGCACAGAGAGAGCGCGCCAGCGCATGCGCTCCTCACACAGCTGCTCACCTCCCGCCTCTCAATTTCCTTCCTCCTCTCCTCCTCTCTCTGCCGTTCCAGCTCCCGCTGCTTTTCCAGCTGCTTCTCCAACTCCAGCTGTCTTTTGCGCTCTTGCTCCTGGCGCTCCCTCTCCTTCCTTTCCTGCTCGGCCCGCTCCAGCTGAGCCAGGCGCTCTTGCTCTTTGCGCTGCTGCTCCAGAAGAGCTTGCCTGCGTTTCTCCAGCTCCAGATTCCCACGTTCAAAATTCTCCCGCTTCTTATCTTCAAAGGTCACTTTAAAAACAGGACAGGTCAATTATGAAAAGTCATGATTTTCAACATTCCATTTTCAAGGGAAAAACTCACTGGCATAAATTTGCAGTCCAACTGCATTACAGAACTTTCTGAGTTTGCTGACTGTGCCCTTATTAATAAGCAATATGAGCACATCCTTCCCGTAGCCTTCTACTACCATCCAGGGCAAACACTGCTCCTAGAAAAATCTTCCTCTAATGATTCCACATCCTCACTCACTCTCCTCTGCTTCCTAGCACTCTTCTTTACCTTCTTCTCCATGCTTTGCTTCAGCAATTGATCCTCGTCTCTTCTACATTGTGACTCTCTCTCTCTCTCCCCCACTGTCCTAGCTTTAATTATGCTGCTGTCTTCTATTCCAACAAGACAACTTCTCAAAGCAGAGTTGGAAGGTGAGCACACCATGCTCACACCAAAGAACAAGCTGTGCCCTAATTATTACAAGGATCACAATCATAAGTCATTTTCTAACTCATTATTTAGTTTCCCTCCTTGACACATCAATTATAAATTTTAGGTCTATTTTTTTTTCTCTAATCCTTACTAAATCTTTGTTTAAATCCATTTTATTTTATTCATTTCCAAAAATCCCATCCTCCATGTCTCTTGCAGTGTTCAGCAGTGTATTCAACTTTGCCTCATGAGTACTTCCTGGGTTAAGGGGTGCTCACTGCCAGTCTGAGTTCACATCACTCCCACTGTTCCAAATATTTCTTTCTAGAACTCTATCTCTCTGTCTCTGTCTCTCTCTCTTTTTTTTTTTTTTTTGTTTTTTTAGTACTGGGGTTTGAACTCAGGGCTTCATGCTTGTTAGGCAGGAGCTCTACCACTTCACCCACACCTTTAGCACTTCCAGAACTCCTGCTTCTCACTCCACCTTGAGATTTGCAGCCATGAGCACCTTTCCTTGGCTTCTCCCCACACTCCAGTTTGGGCAGTTTGAATTTTACTGGTTTAATATGGCCCTCCCATACTGGGGCCAGGGATTACAAATCAGAGATGGCAAGTAGCTTCTGATTTTCATGTTCCTTTGATCACCTTTCATGATTTCAGAGGATATAGCATCTTTACTGTCACCTTAAAAGTCAGTCCCTCCACCCAAAAGGGAACGACACAATGCTCTGTGGTATGACATGGAGGAATCTCAAAAATAATCAAGCTAAGTCAAAGAAGCCAGACACAAAAGGTCAAATATTGTATGATTCCACTGATACAAAATATTCACAATAAGCAAATCCAAAGAAACAGCAGACCGGTGGTTGCCAGTGGTTGGGGGGGGAACAGAAAATTTGGGGGTGTGAGACTAGGTATAGAGTTTTCTTTCACCTTCCTTTTTTTGGGGGGTGGGGTGCTACTAGGGTTTGAACTCAGAGCCTCCCAGCTCCCATCTGCTAGACAGGCACGTTACCACTTAAGTCAGTCCTTCTTATTTTAGGTATTCTTCGAATAGAACCTTGTATTAATGCCTGTCCCAGCCTGGACCTCGATCCTTATTTACACTTCCTGCACAGTTGGGTTGATAGGCACACACCAGCTTTTATTGGATGAGATGGGGGTCTCTCAAACTTTTTTCCCAGGCTGGCTTCAAATAGCGATCCTCCTGATCTCTGCCTTCTGAATAGCTAGGATTCCTGAGGCAGGAGCCACTGCACCCAGCTGGGTATGGAGTTAACTTTTGGAACAAGCAGCAGTGGTACACAGCACTGTTATGGACAAAATGTTTGGATCCTCTGAAATTCATAGGTCAAAGACTGAACTACCCCAATGTGACAGTATGTGGACATGGGGTCTTTGTCATGAGGGTGGGACGCTCATGATGAGATCAGTGACCTTAGAAAAACAGAGTGGGAGGTGCGTGGGAGATTGTTTCCTCAGCTTGCAGGCACCAAGGAAAAGTCATGTGAGGACATAAGAGAGCAAGCTGCTGTGTGTGCCAGGAAGAGGGCTCTCACCAAAACAGAACTGCCTCACACTTAATCTTGGACTTCAGTCTCCCACACAATTTCCACTACCTGTTTCAGCTACCTGGTATATGATATTTTGCTATGATAGCCCAAGCTAAGACAGCCATTAAATTGTACTTTTTTTTTTTTTTTTTTGTGGCACTCAAGTTTGAACTCGGAGCTTCGAACTTGCTAGGTCGATGCTCTACCACTTGAGTCACGCCTCCAGCACAAATTTTAACATATTTAACTATTGGGCTGGGTGTGGTTGTGCATGCATACAATCCCACTTATTTGGGAGAAAGAGATTAGGGAGGATCACAGTTCAAGGCTAATCTGGGCAAAAAGCTAGCAAGACCCCAATCTCAACAAATAAACTGGCTGTGGCAGTGTGCATCCATCTGTAATCCCAGCTACATGGGAGGTATAGGTAGGAGGATGTTGGTCTGAGGCCAGCCCTGGGCAAAAATACAAGATGCTATCCAAGAAATAACTAAATGCACAAAAGGGCTGGGTACATGACTCAATTGGTAAAATATTTACCTAGCAAACATAAGGCCCAGAGTTCAAATTCCAGTAGTGCCCCGCCCCCCAATAAAATTTCAATTTTGTATTATGTGAATTTCATTTCAATTTTAAAAACACTGAAAATATCTTTTTAATTCTAGCAGCTGGCACTATTCCTAGTGCCAGACAGAGAGCACAGATAGAGCCTACAGAGAGTGCATAATAAATGGCTGCTGAAAGAACAAATGCAAAAACAAAATACTCTGACAATGGGGCTTCCTGTTCAAACTCTTCAATGAGTGTCTACCACCAGCAGAATAAAGAAATTTCACATTCCAAGAATTCCTGTCCTTATCTACCACTGAGACTCCATTTCTATCATTATCAAAACTTGACCTGTTCCTCACTTCCACTTGCAGTAACCCTATTTATCTTCAAGCTTCAACTCAACTATGACCTATTCCCTGGAGGTTTAATGCCTAATGTCTTTCCCAGTCTATATAAGCCAACCATAAGTAGGCTCTCTCATGCATATATAACTCTCCAAGAATTTATAACACTGATGGACTGCTTTACTGATTGGTTACATGGATGTCTTAAGTCTTCTAATATAGTGTAGGTTTCTGGAGGATATGAACCATGTATTATTAACATTCAAATTCTTCACTGTATTCAACACATGGCCTTGCATATAGAACAGTCTGTATTGCATTACTGAACATAATTGAAAAGTAATTTAGTTTAGAGTATCAGCTGAGAGAGCTAGTGTGCTGAGCTGACCAATTAACTGTGCAGCACTTAAAATGCATCAAAATGACACTGACAAACTAAGTCAGAAAACCCATAATAAATTTCAACTGCTTCTTAGTTTCATTATCATCATCATTAATAATTTATAGCCATCTTACACTAAATTAATAGTATGATTGATTTACCATTGTAATAAGGATTATTAAAATAGGTTCACGTTAAATTTAAAATAGGTTCCTAGCCAGGTACCAGTGGCTCATGCCTGCAATCCTAACTACTCAAGAGGCAGAGGTCAGGAGGATCATGATTCAAAGCCAGCTTAGGCAAAAAGTTTGGGAGAACCTATCTCAAAAACACCCAACACAAAACAGGGCTGGCAGAGTGGATCAAGTGGTAGAGTGCCTGCATAAGGAAGCCTTAGGCCCTGAGTTCAAACCCCAGTACTGCCAATTAGTAAACAAATAAAAATAGGTTCCTGCTGTTAAGGAGTTTCTGATTCTCCTGTAACATAAGAAAATAACAGTAGGAGATTTTACTTCCTATTTCTGTACTAAGAAACCACTACATTCTATATATAAATAAACAAAATTTTTGTTTAACAGTATATAATCAGATTTTAAATTAAAAGTTTGAATAAGGGTATATTAGCAGTATATGTAATACTATTATTTCTTTACACATATCCAAACTCAAAAAGAACATTAAAACTGTCTTTTTCTGAGTATAGTCAAAGAAACATAGCAAAAATGTCAGAAGCTAAATTTATTTTTACTTTCATTTTTTGCCATTTTGATTTGAATAGAAAATCTCAAATATGACCTAAGGCAAACAGAAAGGCTGCCTTACCAGGTAATTTCTTTTCTAATTGTTGCTGTTCATCTTCTAAAGCTGGTTCCTCTGGTAACCTCTGATCTACAGATGCTGAACTTATGACAGATATCCCACTGCCTGATCGAACTCTCCTGCAATTTTAGAAAAAAAGAAAATATCCACATAAAGTTGTGTAGGTAGATCCGGACAAGCTACAAAAAAGAATTTTTAGATTATACCATATCCTGGAGCAAATTTCATTTATGTGAGGAAAAAATAAAGATTTAGTCTTCTCTATTTACAAAACGTTTTTGAAAATGAGTATCTGTTTGCCCTTGATCTAATGTCCACATATGAGGGAGAACATACAATTTTTGGTCTTTTGGGCCAGGCTAACCTCACTCAGAATGATGTTCTCCAATTCCATCCATTTACCAGGAAATGATAACATTTCATTCTTCTTCATGGCTGCATAAAATTCCATTGTGTATAGATACCTCATTTTCTTAATCCATTCGTCAGTGCTGGGGCATCTTGGCTGTTTCCATAACTTGGCTATTGTGAATAGTGCCGCAATAAACATGGGTGTGCAGGTGCCTCTGGAGTAACCTGTGTCACAGTCTTTTGGGTATATCCCCAAGAGTGGTATTGCTGGATCAAATGGTAGATCGATGTCTAGCTTTTTAAGTAGCCTCCAAATTTTTTTCCACAGTGGTTGTACTAGTTTACATTCCCACCAACAGTGTAAGAGGGTTCCTTTTTCCTGCATCCTCGCCAACACCTGTTGTTGGTGGTGTTGCTAATGATGGCTATTCTAACAGGGATGAGGTGGAATCTTAGTGTGGTTTTAACATAACAATGGGATTGGACTTTGAGCACATGATAAAAGCGGGAGCACACAAGGGAGGGGTGAGGATAGGTAAGACACCTAAAAAAATCAGCTAGCATTTGTTGCTCTTAATGCAGAGAAACTAAAGCAGATACCTTAAAAGCAACTGAGGCCAATAGGAGAAGGGGACCAGGAACTAGAGAAAAGGTTAGATCAAAAAGAATTAACCTAGAAGGTAACACACACGCACAGGAAATTAATGTGTGTCAACTCCCTGTACAGCTAACCTTATCTCAACCAGCAAAAACACTTGTTCCTTCCTATTATTGCTTATACTCTCTCTTCAACAAAATTAGAGATAAGGGGAAAATAGTTTCTGCCGGGTATTGAGGGTGGGGGGGAGAGGGAGGGGGTGGAGTGGGTAGTAAAGGTAAATAAATAAATAAATAAAAAGAAAATGAGTATATGAAATGAGTGCCGAGCTCATTCAGAATGTGGAGTGGGATGTAGGTTAGTGGTATAGCATGCTTTGCATGTGCAAAGCCCTGGGTTTGATCCCCATAACCTCCAGCCCCTCAAAACCCCATAAAATCTTTAGAACTGTCACCTAAATGAGGACAATCCCAAAAGGCGACTTACTTAATCACAGAGTGGATAGAACCATGGCGGAAGTATCTGCTTCTATGACCATCACCCTCACAAGTAACACTTAATTCCCCCAGAAACAACAGAAGCTCAGCTAACTAGGAATAGCTCTCCACTGAATCCCTTCCTGATGTCCACAGTCTACAGTTCTGGGGGAAAACCCACTCGGTTTACTGACTAGTGTCACTTTAAACCTTTAACCCTATTCTTAAAACAATGTCCCATTCTTTTTTTAATGCTTTTTTTCTTTTTAAACCAGCTTCCAATGTTAAAATTCTCTAATAGTGATCCTTGCAGCTGTAGATTTCATAGGCAAACTGCCTGAACAGCCTGTTGCTTCCTATCAAGTTGGAGTTTTCTCATCTTGCTCCTGTACCATGGATGAGCCCATAGTGATGGATCTATTTCTCTTCATTTTAGAGGGATTTTGTCCAAGTCTTTCCTGAAGTTTCAGGTCTCAGGACAGAAATTCATATTTTTCTTTTTCTTATCCTTCTTGTGAAATCTGGTACTTGTCTTTCACATTTAAAGCCAGGAGATGGAGCCATTCAGGGTGGTGTGTGCACACAACTTATGTGTACTGCTGGGGGTGGCTATTACAGCAGATTTTTCCTGACGGGATCCTGGGGCTCTCTTGACATCTTTACTAAATCTGTGTTACAAACCATGAAAATTTTCTTTAATTATTTTCCTGATTACAATTTCTACATTGCCTGTATTTTTTGTTACCTCTTGGATATGTGTAATTCACAGGTGCCATCTCCTTGCTCCACTTCCTATGTACAGTAGAATTCCTTTCTCTCTCAGTGCTAGCATCTGCTCCTAAAATTTCTGGTGAGCTTCGATTATATAGGTTGCTATGAAAATTAACAATCTTTTGATATTTTAGTTGACTGCTCTCACTACATGGAATACACAAGTATTCTGAAGAACAGAACAGGCCCAGGCTTGACATGGAACTTAGGTGAGAATTTATTCTCTTGAATGCATGAATAGTTCATTTGCTTGCCAGAATGGTAAACCACTATGAAAAACACAGTCAACAAAACCATTACACAATACACAATTTTTTACACAGCCAATGTGCCTTACCTAAAGGATGGTGGAATGTATTCTGGAGGCAGGACAGGTGGCAGTGGTTGGCCAGACATAGCAACATCAATTAGATGCATAGCCAGGATAAATTCTTCTGCTGTAAGTTTTCCATCTTGATCAATGTCAGAAAGATTCCTAATTCAATAAAAAGGTCATTGCAATCCAGTTTCATGAAAATGCATGCTTCTTACTATTCTAGTGTGATTTACAAGTTTTATTACCCTAATCCTAAAACAACTAAGTCTCAGTGCTACTATTTTCAACAGTTGCAAGCTAAAGAGATACTTCATATAGTTGGCATACTGTTCAGCATTCAACAAATGCTGACTGTGATTAGAATATTCTTCTCAATCCTTGCAAACCTGTTTAAAATCTATCACACTCATGCTTTATGTATCTTTAAATCCTATGCTCTGGGCCGGGGATGAACAAACGATCTATAAAGGATTACATAGCAAATATTTTATGGTTTATAAGTCATACAAGCTCTGTCATACTGAATTCTGTCCTTGAGAAGCAGACACAGACAATATATAAATGAATGGGCATGGTTTTTACAATAAAATTTAATCTAAAAAATGGGTGCAAGTCAGATTTGGCCTCTGGGGCAGGCTAGTCACCTTCTAATCTATTCTGTAAAGGTAGGAATTTATGGCCTCCAGTCATAGAGTTAAGGCATATCTTCCTCCTCATTCTAGGAATTCAGACTCCATCATTCTTGATAATTAAATTGCCTAAGTAGCTAATTATAGTAAACAACTTTTCCTAGCAGTTCCAAGAATGTGATTTTATTGAGCAAGTTCTGGATACCAAAAGAATATGAAAAGCTACACACCTGCTCACTAGAATGTCAACAGACAAACACAACATTAAGAAACTGGCTTTGCCAGTGACTGACAGACAGACAGACACACACACCCAAGAAACTTTCTCTTCATTCTAAAATTTCTTAAGATATCATAAATTTTTTCATTATTGTTATCACAGTATATTCACCTTTTTTTTAAAGACTACAATTCTGTGAGTTTTGACAAACATACTTAACTACAGAACTACCACACCACATTCAAAACAGTCAGCACCACCCAAATTCCAGGTCTCCTTTTACTCAACTTCCTCTGGCATAGTGTCTCTATTTTGTTCTAATCCTGCCTTTTCCAGATGCTAGAAACCACAAAAAAAAAATACAACCCCTCCCTGCTCCTCCTTATTCTTTTCCTTTTATATGAACCACCATTGGCTGCACCTGTCAAATCAGAATAGAGAGAAGTTGGAATGTGAGCCAGTGGCTCATGCCTGTAGTCCTAACCACTCAGGAGGCAGACATTAGAAGGATCACAGTTTGCAGCCGCCCTGGGCAAATTGTTTGCGAGACCCTATCTCAAAAACCCCAACACAAAACAAGGCTGGTGGAGTGGCTCAGGTGGTAGAGTGCCTGCCTGGCAAGCATGAGGCCCTAAGTTCAAACCCCAGTGCCAGAAAAAAAAAAGAGTCAGAATGCTTATTTTTCCCATAAGTACCTAAGTTATGGTTACAAACATTTAATCAAAACATCTTTTTAGTATGAAGAAAGAGACTATAATAGTCTAATAGGAGATGCCTCAAATGTCTTTTTCAGGAGGCAAGTTATAAAGGAGAAATTTTAAATAAACATCTCAGCATATTCTGGCATCATGAGAGCAACTTAATGGACTGTCAATCAATGCAGTGTTATACCTTAAGTTTACAGTTCAGAGGGCATAGGATATTATTGCATAACCACACTTCAATATATATGTGGATCACAAGTATAAGATGCTTATTAGCTAGTCTATTCTACAGCAAAAGGCAGACTCTACATTACACAACAGAAGGGAAAAGCAAGGAAAAGGCAGAATTTGGTCACTTACAAAACAATGACAGCACTGTGTCTTCTATGAAATTTATAAAGTTGGCATGTGAGCAGTGGGAACAAGTTCATTAACACTTAAGTAAAAGATGCACACCTCTCAAGAAATCATTTTGGTTAACAGTTTAAATGTAAGGAAACTGTAGAATCTAAGCAATGCTTAGATTTTATCAGTTGCTACTAAAAAAAATTACAGAACAGAGACGTCATGTGCCTCCTAATAGAACTGTACAGTAACATCTCTGATGTAGTCTTACCAAAAACAAAAACAAAAAGTAACAACAAAAATCAAATGTGGAGCCAGGCACTGGTGGCTCACACCTATAATCCCAGCTAATCAGGAGGCAGAGATCAGGAGGATCATGGTCTGAAGCCAGCTGGGGCAAATAGTTTGCAAGACCCTATCTCAAAAAAACCCATCACAAAAAAGGGCTGGAGGAATGGCTCATGGTGAAGGCCCTGAGTTCAAACTCCAGTACCACAAAAAAAAAAAAAAAAAAGTGTCTCTAATTAGTAGTGTTCAAGCAGGGATGATATTGTACCCCAAGGAGCATTTGTCAGAGTCTGGAGATATCTTGGGTTGTCATAACTGAGGGTAGGGCTCCTGCTTATTGGCACCCATTGCCCAGTGATTAGAGGCCAGAGATGCTTCTAAATACCCTACAATGCATAGAACAGACCCCTCACAATCAAGAATTATTGGGTCTAATGTCAATAGGGCTGAGTTTGAGAAACCTTGTCTCACCTCTAAGTACCAATTCACAGAAAATACAAGAACAAATTAAACACCACTACAGAGATGCAATGAGTAAAAGTCAGGATAAACTATAGAACAGGGCTGGCAGAGTGGCTCAAGTGGTAAGAGCACCTGCATAGCAAATGTGAGGGCCTTAGTTCAAACCCCAGTACCACAAAAAATCACAACAAAACAAAAAAGAATAGAACAGATGATCTTGTTTGTTTTTCAGGGGCTTTAGGAACAAGCAGACAACGAGCAGGGAGAATTTATAGATTTAAGGAGAATTAAAGGTGTTTCAATCAGAACTAGATGTTTTGACTTGGTAGAGGACTCGCTTAGCACATACGGGGCCCTGAGTACCTCCAAAATGTATCAATTACCAAGGTATAGATTTACTTCAGTGTTCTGAACAAATAAGCTATAGGAAATTATGAGTTGTCAAGCCTGAGGCTTGACAGGGCAGATGGGCAAGACCCTATCTGTAAAACAAGCTAGACCAAAAAAGAGCCAGAGGTGTTGCTAGCAAGTGTGAGGCCCTGAGTTCAACCCCTAGTACCACCAAAAAAAAAAAAAAATCAGTCTAAGGCATTTGGTAAGAATGACTATTAAAAACTGTAGGTGGACTATTGATATTAGAGTTATGTTTTTAAAATTTTCCATCTCTTTTAAGGACAAGGTGAAATATTTACAGGTGAAATAATGTAACTGAGACTTGGCATAAAATAATTCTGAAGGAGGAAGTTGGAACCAAGACTGGACACAGGCTGAGACTTCTAAAACTGTGTTTTGAGTTCTTCAGAGTTCATTGTACTAATCTCTCTACCTTGTAATTTTCCAAATTAACAAAGGAAAAGGTAAGAGCAGTAATCATCACAATTCATTGAAAATTAAGCATATTTGAAATATCCCCCACAAATAATATCAATCTAAAATCCAATGAGGCCATAACCACCTAAGAAATAAAGTTTCTACTTCATACAAATCAAGGCACTTGTCATTCCTTACCATATTGAAGCCAGCTGAGCCTGTGGTAAGCTTGATTGCATAAGAATAGTTCTTGCTTGGGGCCCTCAACAGAAACCAGGAAAAAGACATAAAGATGAGTCAGCAAGTGTTTCCTATACAGAAAGACCAGGATGCTGCACCAGGCACTATGCAATCTCATGCAATCATAGTATTTCATACTACCCAGGGGCTTTTTAAAATGGAAATTAAACCTGGCAAAAAAGAAGAAACATAGAGCACAGCATCTGACACATACGCAATAAAACTATGTCCAATGGATGTTTAATAAAGAATGAATGAGCAAGTGGAAGATTGGAGTTTCCAAATATAACTTGCAATCTCTACTTTTATTTACCAAGTGGGGACCTATTCTCTACAAATTGAACATCATCTGCCATAGCCATCACCTGCTGCCTCTACCATGACCATAACCCCACAAATTAAGGGAAGAATCAGAGCCTCTTAGGAGGAAAAGGCTTAGAGGGGACCCCTTCTAATGGCTACAATGCACAGACTTTTAAAAGGGGTGAGGGGGTAAGCCGCTCAAGGTTGCACAAATGGCTAATATCAAAGCCAAGATTAGAACATATTTCTTATGTCAGGGAAAAAAAATTCCTGGAATTTCAATTCTTCTTTCAAAATCAGCTCTAATTTCTTAAGAGAACTATGAGTATCTTCATTTCTGGCATGACACTAACTTTAGATATCAGACAAGCTACAACAGGAGAATTATTTACTACTGAAAATATTTTAACTTTTATTTACAATTAACTAATGGCAGCAAAGCACACATTAATACATACATGTGTATTCATATATACATATATACATATACACTCACATAGCTTAGAAAATTAATTTTCCAAAGTGAAAATACTCAAGCTGTCCAGATCATAAAACAGAATGCAACCAGCTCCCAGGAGGCCCTCCGTCTCCCTTCTGGTATCACTACCACCAAGTGTAGCCTGACCTCTAACTGCATAGCCTCTGTTAGGTCTGCCTTATTCTTTTCAATATACTGTTGTGTGAAGTTACAGAAAATACATAGTATACTGTTGTGTGGTTGCATCACAATTTATTTTCCCTTCCACATTGCTGGGTACTCAGGTAGTTTTTGGTTTGTGGCTCCTATAAGTAGTGAATGTTCTATTTTGATGAACATACGAATATATTTCTGGGGGATCTCTCTCTCCCTCTGTGTATGTGTGAGTGTGTTTATGTGCATGTCTAAGAATAATAAACAATCTATTGAATTAATGGAAGATTCTAATAGCTCTATGAAATGAAGTCAGCTCACTGACCATTTTCTTTAGTGTTTGTAACACTGTATTTAGAATGCTGGCAATGTTTAAAGAGAATTAGCAAACTTTACTGTTTAGTTTATACTTGTAACAATTCTCCCCACTTTAGAACTACATGAAAGAAAGTTAATATTTTATCTGTTTCAAACAAAAGGTGACAGTGAATGTGGAGAACCAGCCCTACCCTTAGATCTCAGGAGACTTGGATTCCAGTCCTGATTCCCTAATGACATGTGGCATAACAAAGCTTCTTTAGCTCTCTAAAATGAAATAGCCTGGAATAGGGATTGGCAAACTTTGGCCCAGAGCCATACTGGCCTGTCAACTGCTCTTATAAAGTGTACTGAAACAAAGTCATAGCCACTCATTTAAGCATAAAACATGGCTGCTTTCATGCTACAATGACAAAATTACAGCTACTGAAACAGCCTTCCCCAAATCACTCAGCAGAGTCTAGGCCTAGTCAGTAACTGGCACACAGACACCCACAGCATGCTCTGACAGTGGTAGCAAGGATCCAACTGCATCCAAAACAGTGTGAAAGTAAAGCCCAGTGGTGATCAGGATCCCTTCAGGAACCGACAACACACTAAACCCATAGCACAGATCAGCTAGGGTGTGGGCTAGGTATAATTTTTTTCTTGTGATAGTATAAAGATAACCTACAATCTTCTCTAAGTTAGGCTAAACAAATTACCTATAATTCCTATATTATAAATGGACAAGGACTTCACTACTCCAAGGCTGAGAACTGGTGCCTTGGATTAGATTAAGAAGTTACAATTATGTGCATTTAAAAAAAAATGCTTTGTAGTTCCTTCAAAACAAGAACTCATAAAAAAATAAAACCAAAAAAAGAACAGAAATTAAAGTAGCAAATTATATATTTTGCTTGGGCCCCTTTAGATAGCACATACTTATTTGAGGTGACGGCTGAGATCCTTTATGGGGACAGGGCTCAAGATTAGACCAGAACTCTTCAAGTCTCATCCAACCCTGACATTTTAAAATAAGTTTGCAATTTTTTGGCGGGGAGGAGGGTTGGAAGTAAAATGTGTGATTGTAAATAATAACAAAAATGATACGAAGACCCAGTATTTAAAATATCTTGTGATCTTGTGTTATATACATAACAGTATGGCCAACCCTCCAGAAAATTAACCCATTCTTGCCAGATGGCTTGTAGTTTTTTTTCTTTTTCTTTTCTACTCAATGGAGGTTCTCTCTCTCTCTCTCTGTCTCTCTGTCTCTCTCTTTACTGAGGATTGAACCCAGGGCCTTGCACACACTAGACAAACACTCTACCACTTAAATCATGCCCCCAGTCTCAAAAGATATATATTTCTTTACAACATTCAAATTACTTACTTTTAAGAATTTAACCCTTTATGAAGAAGGTTTTGGAGAGTATCCTACAATTCTCCCTTATCCTTCCAAAAGATAGAGGACAAAAGAATCATTGTTTTTAAAAATCCACTGAGAAGTGCTGGCAGAGAGGATCAAGTAGTAGAGTGCCTGCCTAGCAAGCATGAAGCCCTGAGTTCAAAACCCCAGTACAAAAAGAAAAAAAATTCACTGAGATCATATAAATTAACCCTGGCCACTTATAAATGATGAAATAATATCCAGAGGTGAGCCCCAGTGAATCAGTGGCAGAGACATGTTCCTTGACCTTTCACCCTGCACACAACCTCAGTCTCTGCCCTGGTGAGTAGGCAACTTCAAGTTCATCTACAAAGCTGAACTTCAGAACCCAAAGCTAGCTTTTGTTCACAGCACTGTTTTCCTGTTCGAGCCCTGACTTTCATATTAGTGGCTTTCAAAGTACAGAAGAATCCCCAGGTCTCTGTTTCAGTTTACTAAGATTAGCAATGGGGCAAAGGCCAGAGGCACAGAAGAAGAAAATTATCAGTATTGATGGAGTTATCAGTAGTTGGAAACACAAGATAACACAGACAATGAGAACCCTACTTAAGAAATAAGCAAATAGAGAAAGACTTTTGGAAAATATTGAACCAGTATCTAGAAACAACCTGCACTCAAAACAATTCTCTAAATTAGATTTTATTTGTAAATACCTGTTAAGTGTCCACTCATGGTTTTGTCATTACTATTGAACAACTGCCTGTATTTCAGTCTCGATGACTGAGGCACAGCCCATTCTGCTGCTGGAGGGACACTGTGGGAAAAAGAGGAAAGAGAGACGGTGATAAACTGTAAGAGCAACATATTGCTCTTTAAAACCATAAACTAAGAGCTATAGATATCAAACTTTAACAAGTATTTCCTATTTCCTTTTTTTTTTTGGCAGTACTAGGGGTCAAAGTCAGGACCTCATACGAACTACACAAGTGCTCTACCACTGAGCCATACTTCTTCCCCATTTTTAAAGTTATAAACATTTCTCTCAAAATAAATAAGCTTATTATTTTTCCAGAGAAAGGAAAAACAACAAAGTTACTACCTCATGCTCCATACATAATTTAATAACTTAAAGTTTCCTGAAATATATTGAAAACCTCCTCAGCACCAAGGCAATACAATCACACCCAGGTTTTCCTAAGCACCTAGAACAACTCTCCTTCCTTAAAATGCAATGTTGGCTAAAGTACCTTTTCGAAGGTACTCTCCAAAATATTTAATTTTCTCTACACCAAAATATGGAAACTACATCTTAATAAGTGAAATTATTTCCTTCTGGGAAGTTAAATTCCCACCAAATGGAGAATTTCTCGGAAAGAGAAGAGAACATTTCCAGGGTCATGGCACATTAGCGGAGCAGTAATAGACAACGCTCTGCTCTCTTGATTGTGATCCAACACTAGCCTCTCCTTGCCAAAGTGCTACAACCCTGACCTGAGTAAACCCCTGCTAGCCATCAGCCCGCGCTACTCATCCTGGCAATTCCTGCAATGGATGCCACAGCCACGAAAGCATCACACTGGTACTGATGGCTTATTAAGAATCTGATTCCTAAATCAAGTCACTTAAACACAAAAATTGCACTCCGCTTCCAGGGCAGATTAAAAGTAATGCCCCATATGAAATTTCCTTTCATTCTAGCAAAACTATCTATGTCTCATATGCAAAAAGAAAAATTTGAACCATGCATTGAAGCTCTTAGTCATCATTTATGTATTATCTATGCACTTCTACTTACTAGACATAGTTCATAAAAGCATAGGAAACAACTCTCAAATACCTGAAAAGTACCTATATAAATTCACCTTTTTCAATTGTTATGAATTTCTTAATAAAAACACTTACCGTGATCTATTTTGCTGTAAGTAATTCTGTAACAACTCTCTCATTTTAACTAATATGTTGCTGATGCGAACTCCTGCCTATTTGTCAAGAGGCTATCTTGCTTCTCCACACCACAGATGTGGGGTGTTACACACAGAAGTTGTTCCAGATTACATTTACCAACTCATAGTTCTCTGCAAGATTCCTCACAATTGAAGTAGACTAAAAGTTTTCAATGTGAGACCTAAAAGTTAGACACTACATTGCAAAAATTTGCTGGAAATTTAAGTTGTTGAAAAGATGACTACTAACATAAAAACAAAAATCGTTACAGTGCTGTTTGCTAACAACGAATAACATTGGTTCTAACTTTAAGGGAGATTTCAAAATCCCTTCTGGAAAGCTAGAAAAAACAAAACTTTAGCATGGTGTGCCAGAAAACAAATTTTAATATGACATAATTTTAAGTCTTGGCTCTACCGTTCATTAAGTTATAAATTTATGAGCAAGAAATGTAACTTCTCTGGGTTTGCTTCCACTGCACAGGCCACAGGGCTGGGAGGGATTAATAAAATGCCTGGCAAAGCAGATGCTCAGTAAATGTCCAAGCACCTTAAAAGTAAAAATTTAATGAAAGGGAACACAGCCACCTGTATATGACACTGAGTTGCACTGTCATTGATGAGTTAATTATCTGGGATAAGCTCCCTAAAGTCTCTGAGTTCGATCCTCCTCTGTAAAGGAAGAGACAATAGTCACCCTGCGGGGAAGAATGAGTTACTCTGCACAGAAAGCTTTTAACACAGTGCTTTTCTGTCTATGGATTTTTTCTAAGTCATTTTTAAAAGGTATTGCATTATTTAATTATATTCAATGTGTTATCTTTAAAAAGGGAAAATGACTTGATTCACTTGTGGAAAACTTTTAATGGGACTAACAAAGAAAAGCTGGAATCATCTTTGCTTACACCCCACTTCATTCCTAAAGTTTTAAGACTGTTTACAAAGAGAATTTGTTAACTTAGTGTAGCAAATATGCAAGGGGAAAGGTAAGAGGCAAAAGAAAATAAAAATATGGAAGATAATGTGAAACTGTGGTTGGCCAAAATATACGGCCTTTCTGACTTTTCTAAAATTATGTAGTATATTTGATTAAAGAAAACTGTCCATTAATCTGAATAATTCACTTTATAAAACTTAGTCTTTAATACAGATTTACTAGGAAGCCACACAGACTTTATGAAATTACCCACGACAGAATTAAAAATAAGACCAATTGTGGCTCCAATCTTTATATAAAAATTTTATACATGAACTTTAAATGAGTCTATGTGCTTTTTTCCCCCACCTAGAATTCTATTTTATTTTTCCTCCTTTTCCTCTTCCCTCTCCCCTCCCTTCTTCCTCTCTTTTCATCCTTCTGTTCTTCCTTTTTAGTGCTGGGATTGAGCCCAGAGCCTCACACACACTCTACTGACTGATCTATCTTCCAGCCGCTATCTCCACCATTTTATCCTTTAAAAAAAATACACAAAGCCTTTAAGGAAATGGCATGCCCTTGATTTCTGTGATCTGTAAAACAAATAAATGATAAATTCCAGTGACATGGAGAATTTAAAAAATTATTGCTGGCATTTTAATAAAGTTAAAGAAGATAACAAAGAAAGCACATATTTCAAGTTTATGAATTAATCAAATAATGGCTTTAACCAAACTCAAGCAAGCTTACCTGGCCACATCAAATGATTGTGCCTTCTGTAATTTAGTGTTTAATTGTGACCCTGGACCAGATCTACTGAAGGAGGAACTCTTTGGCAATGTCGCTGCTGTAGAAATAAGTGTTGAATAATTTTAATTCTACAAAAATAAGAAAATTTCCCCTACTTACAAAAATTAAAATGTGCAGTTATAAAATAAAGTGCTTCTAGATTTACTTGTTCTACTGAGAATCTCTTTAATGCTGACATCCATAAAATTTTACTCTTCATTGAGCATTCAGCACTATATTTTATAGGATCTGTTCCAACAGAGAAGTCACAGCTTAAATATATAAAACAGCACTGTCTTGCCACCCAGGAGCTGAAGTATTAGTTCCAGATGTAGGAGCCAAGAAGTCAGGCCACCTAGTGCTGGCTAGATAACATGTGATACGAGGGAGGGACAGCTTTTGTGTCTGATTCTCATTTGACTGATTAGTTGAGTGTCAGGAAAAAACAGCCAGAGCCTTAGCGACACCCTTCACCCCTCACCCTTGTCTTCTGTCTTACAACATTTGCCGTTAGCCACAAGAGAAAACAAGACTCAAAGAGCTGGGATTCACTTATACTACTGGAAAAAACAACTGCAGTCATGGTCATTCATGAACAAAAGACTGTATGCATAGGACAAGATCTAAGTAAAAGAAGGCCATTTGATTCTCTGGTTATAGATTAGAGACAGAACCTGACAGGTATAAACATCCAGGCACTTCAGGCATGTGTGCTGTAATGTGTCAAATGTAAGGCGAAAAGCCACGCTATCACCACTATTCAAAATGTTCTCAGGCATATCCAAACAGCTTAATAAAAAACTATTTCCACATTGACATGGGTTGATTAAGATTTGTTAGACTAAGTCTATCCACATTACAGTTTATGCTTTCTTTTAACTAAGGAAATGACTTTGAATAAAGTCTTAAAATGAAATTAACTAAACCAGGAACTTCAATAACTAAATCCTTTCCCCCAATTAAGCAAGCATGTAGTACTATCGGCTTAATGTATTTAGCCATTTAATTGATTTCCTTCTCCATTCTGCCTGATTCACTACACCTGCTCAAAAAATATGCACAGTGCTCATTTTTCCTCACTACATAATTCTATTCCTAGGGGACTGACTTCCTTATTAGCAATTCATAGCAGCTAAAGAAAAGTAGTAACTGATATATCAAAATACAAAATGTTCAAAAACTGTTCAACTTCAGTTGCTCTTATCAAGCTTTTGCAAGGAAATTATACTGTTGACTTTCACTGTTGTGTTTGCCTTTGTTCACAGAGGTACCCACAGATCTATACAACTCCAGTTCCCTTCCCTTTCTCTATACTAGCATATAATATACCATTTAATATGTTGGGGGAAGAGAAATCAAATGGAAAAAAATAAAGATTTTCCTCTGGAATAAAATATCATTTAAATATGATGGGAAAGTGACAAAAGATTTAAGAAGAATGAACAGCAAAATATAAGTTGTGATAATTCAGCCTATGGTTTGGGTAGACCACATACCAGGATGAGCAAATGCAGGCAGAGGCTGTATGACAGGGGGAGCCCCGTTAGCCAGGGGAGGCACTGCTGTTGGAGGAACCGACGGTACTAAAGGTGGAGACATTCCAACAACTGGGATGGATCCCATTGGCACTGGAGCAACAGCTGTAAGTGGTGGCATGCTGGCGATGCCTCCTATACCTATGAAGGGAAAAAACCCAACAAAATCATAATCAATCACATTTCCACATTCAGTGACAATTAACTCAGTACTGCTTGAAGAAGAAAACCACTTTCTAGCTGTAATATATATTATAGCTGAACTATATTCTTAAAGTAAGGGCTGGTGGAGTGGCTCAAGTGGAAGAGTGCCCTGATTTCAAACTCCAGTGCCATAAAAAGAAAGAATTTATATACATACATACATACACAGAAACACACACACACACACACACACACACACCACACATATGGTTTCAGAGTAGTCATTTTGAAAAGTACCAAAAATTATGTTAAGGATCACATCAAAAGGACCCTTGAACTAATGTGCAGAGGGTCCATCAAGATGAAAATTAAGAATAATAATAGGGGGAGGGAGGATAAAGGAGAAAGACAGAGGAGTGAATTTAAGATGAATTATAAGCACTTTTGGAAATGTCACAATGTACCCCCAGGACAATAATAATATGACAATAAAAAAAATTTTTTTTGGCAGTACAGGGGTTTGAACTCAGGGCTTCATCTTGCTAGGCAGGTGCTCTACCACTTGAGCCACTCCACCAGCCCTGTTTTGCATTGGATATTTTTGAGATAGGATCTCATGAACTATTTGCCTAGGCTGGCTTCAAACCATGATCCTCCTGATCTATGCCTGAGTAGACAAGATTCCAGGCTTGAGCCACAGGTGCCAGGCAACAATAAAAAATTTTTTAAGGGGGGAGTGGGAGGGGGCAGAGTGGGTGGTAAGGGAGGGGGGGGGTGGGAGCAGGGGGGAGAAAATGACCCAAGCCTTATATGCACATATGAATAATAAAACAATAAAAAAAATTTTTTTAAAAGAAGAATAATAACAGCAGTGGACTGAAAGCCAATAAATATAAATGAATCCATAAATTCAAAATTATATTTAAAAACAAATTTTTTTAAAAACTGAGCCACATAGCAAGATGTTAATCAATTTATTATTTTGAAAACTACTAAATAAAGGAGAAAAAAATCCAAACATTTGACTGCACTTTAGGGTAAGCAAATATTTGATGGGGGAAGTATCTTTTTATAACATATTCTAACCAACAAATGAAGAAGTGATAGAACTAAACTAAATATTTCATTTTTACTTCTGTTTCAAAATCATTTTTTTTTTCTGTGTCAATACCTTTCTTGCACAGAGCCCTTTCACATGTCTTCTCAACATTCATACAGCTTAAGGGTTGGTCGGAGTCTTGCAGCTGGTGTGGTCACCCTCATCTCAAGTGCACATGTGCACAGCTTCAATCAAGAATAGCACCACTTCAAGCTGACAGAGCTACTCGTCCATTCTGCTGCTGCTACCAAGGTCATCATTTCCACTGACAAGGTGCTGGACACAAGTGTCTCCTTCACCCCCAAAACAAGGCTGCTAGTACTCACGACTTGCCCATCCTAGCAGGACTTCCATGTTAACCAGGCTAGGGGCTAGAGCACTAGAACACAGCCAGGAAAGACTGCCAAGGATTTCTACTATTCCATTATTCCCACCTGAACCTTGGCAGCTTTCCAAACATCAACGAGCCTCAGAGAGTTGCACACCTGTAGTTGTTTTGCCAATTTTGCCCACTTTTTGGTTTTGTTTTTTTTTTTTTTTGCAATAATGGGGTTTGAACTCAGGGTTTTGGCACTGGCTAGACAGGATCTCTACCACTTGAACCATGCTTCTAGTCTTTTTTGCTCTGGTTTTTTTGGAGCTAGAGTCTCATTTTTTACCCAGGCCTACTGAACTGCAATTTTCCTATTTTATGTTTCCAAACATCATTGGGATGACAAGTGCATACCACCACACCCAGCTATTGGTTGAGATGGGGTTTTGCAAACGTTTTGCCCAGGCTGGCCTTAAGCCACAATCCTATCAATTTCAGCATCCTAAGTAGCTAAGACTATAAACATGAGTCACTGCACCTGGACCATGACACTTACCATTATTGAAGTTCAAAGCATCCTCTTCAGGTTGGCTACAGAGACTTCTGTTATCTCCCTACTAGTCTTTGATACTTTCTTTGTCAAACAGAGTTACAAAATGGTTTCTTCCAAGCTCAGCATGTATATTTCATACTCCAAGCCTAAAACCAGACATTTCTTCAAGAAATTCTGGGTTCCTTTAGTGAGAAGTGGTATTTTACAAGTTCACAGTCTGGGTGCTAGGGATGCTCATTGCAGCTGAGGGTGACCACTGTCTCTAGGCCTTTCAGTGAACAGAACAAGGAGACAGATGGACAGATGGATGGGAAGGTGAATAGATAACAAACAACAGAGCTCATTCTCTAAGAGATTCCCCAAGAAGGACTTGTTCAATATTCCCTGAGTCCATACTGGTTAGTAACAGTTGCTCTATGTTCTTTCTACTTGACAGTCAGTTTTAGTGCACATAACATCCTTGGGCCAATCTTTCCCTAAGTATCCTAATTATGTGAGAATTTTCTTCTGGCATAAAGCCCTGCTGTTAAAACATCTAGCACTAACCTTATTTTTTTTTTTCTATGTAAGTCATGCACTTTCTTTTTCTACATGCCCAAATATTTTTTTTTTTACTAAAATTTACCTTAATGTTGGTTGATATTTTTAGGCATGTGATACTCTTTTTCAAATATAGTTTCAAATTTTTTATTTCAAGAAAGTTGTCTTGAATTCATTTTACCATTTGTTCTGCTCCCCTGACTGGGTTTTCTTCTTCAAAGACTCCTGACAAATACATCCAGCTTTCTTTGCTTTCAATACTTGTCAGTTTCTCAACTCCCTTTTATATATACATCTTTTTAAAAAATCTTTTATTTCTCTTTAGACAGTATCTCTTATATTCCTTGTAGTTTAGTCTTCATTTCTAAAATGAAGTTTTTCTTTTACTGCTCATTCTTTCCTAAGTTCTGCAACCTTATTTCTGAGATTTTAAAGTTATAATTTCTAAGGCTGGTGGCATAGCTCAAGTGGTAGTGTTCTGGCCTAGAAAGAGTGAGGCCAAGTTCAAACTTACCGAAAAAAAAAAAAAAAAATTCTGTTGATTTTTTTCAACAGATTGTGTCATTCTCATTACACGGTTTAGCTTGTGTTGAAATAGTAAGCTAGAGTGCTTTCATTGTCCACAGGGGTGCTATTTGGATCTGTAGTCTTTTTTCTAATAATAACTTTGTGTGGGATTTGGTACTTGCTTGGTATTTTCTTATGCTTATTTTTTGAGCATTGTTTCCTGGGATTTCCGGTCTCTGTTCTCTTTCCCCCACATTTGTCTGCACTTTCTTTTTCCTTTGTCTCTGTGTCCCAGTACTGCTCAATTTTTTCAGGCGGGGACCCCATCCCAAAAGGAAGCCTTGATGAGTTAGGTGTTGTTTGTTTGTTTGTAGTGCTGGGGTCAGAACCTCAGTCTCTCACATGCTAGACAAGTGCTCTATACTTAGGCTATCAGTCGAGCTCATGGGGACTGGACTAACCCAGATATCTCAGTTCCAAGAGGAGCTCTTGAGCTTGCATAGTACCACAGAGAGCATAATAGCTCTGTTTTAGCTGTCATTCTCAGATTGACTACATTTTTTATGAATGCCTAATTAGCTATTTTGGGGTTCTCCTGTTCTCATCTACACCAGATACCCAATTTCTTCCTTCTTCCCCCTGCACTATTACAGATTTACACATATCCTTTCTTACTAAAGCACATATTACCTTTTGAAGATTTAAAAATAGTGTTCTTGGGCTGGAGGCATGGCTCAAGTGGTAGAGAGTCTGCCTAGCAAGAGTAAGGCCCTGAGTTCAAACCCCAGTACCACCAAAAAAAAGAAAAAAATAGTGTTGTTACACTATTTGTAACCAATAGTGGTTGTGGCTAGGTAAGGGGATTAATAGTTGTCTTCACTTTTTTCTTCAAATCTTTTTGCATTGTCTATTTTCAGTAGGTATCTGTTATTTATATAGTGAAAAAGGACTTTTTTTTTTTTTCCTGAAGCTAGGAATGGAATCCAGGACTCAAGTAGCTAAGCATGGGCTTTACCACTAAGCTGCACCCCTAGCCCAACTTTCATTTGGAAAAAGAAGAATAACCCAACAAAGAAAAAAAATTTTAACCTGGGTTTCACTAGGTGTTAAGTTGATTAATTACAATGATCTAGATGACTAGTTCACAGACCAAAAGTATGCTCAAGCACATTATCACAGGTCTCATTTGGGTCAGATTAACTTTATATACCAACATATGCAGTGCTATATTCTTAAAATTTTTAAATAAAGATTTGATGACTATATTAAATTATACTCCAAATCATGGTCTTTGCTTAAGAATATCAATCTACTCAGGCAACAACTAAAAACAAACAAAATAAACTAAAAATTTTTCCAAAATATCGAAAGAATACTGTCAAAACCAAAAATCTTTTCAGACTTTCAGACAGGATATTGCACAAGCCAGTTAGCCTTCAAAACACTTACCCCATCTGTACTATAGATCCTTGATTTAAAAAAAAAAAAAAAAAAGCCTATCTTAAAAAAGATGCTGAGGTTCACCCTATAAACCTATCTACTCCAGAGGCAGAGATCAGGAGGATCACAGTTTGAGGCCAGTGTGGGCAAATAGTTCAGACTGGTCAAAGCATGTTCTAAGTTTCCTTATTTGTAAAAATCTCTTACATCAGAATTTTTCCTTTCCTTTATACTTTCTTTTTAAAGTTTTTAGACAGGGTTTCACTATGTAGCCCAAGATGGCCTTGAACTTGTAACCCTTCTGCCTCAGCCTCCCAAGTGCTGGGATCACAGATGTGTGGCACTTACCACCACCCCTACCTGCCTGATTTCAATTTTTCCACTTTTAAATGACCCACTGCAGGACCAAGGATATAGCTCAGTGTCAGAGCACTTGCCCAGTGTGGGCAAGACCCTGAATTTGATCCCTACCACTGCAAATAAATAAAAGATAGATAGATAGATAGATAGATAGATAGATAGATAGATAGATAGATAGATAGATAGATAGAATAGACAGATAGATAAGATAGAAAGAAATAAAAGCTATCACAAATACTATCATCCTCTTATCAGCTGACTATCTTTTCTAAAAGATGACTTTCCAATTAAATATACCTACCAAAGTTGTATTCTGGATGCCATCACCTTTTTTGGTGCTAAGTCTTAATTCTTGCAATTCTCTCATCTCTCCTGTATTAGTGAATCTCCCCTCTCTATGAAGTGCAAGAACACTTCAGCTGACAGCTTCTCTTTTGTTTCCTTCTTAAAGTCAAGCTATCCTCTCTAACCAGCCTCCAATCAGGCATTGGTTCCAACCATTCCACTGAACTCATCATGGTCACTCAAAAGCAAAACCCAGTCACAGCTTCTCTGTCCTATTCTCCCCACATCTCTCAGAAGTAGCTCAAACAGTGGAGCAGTCCCTTCACCGGGAGACTCTTTCTTAGCTATTAGAATACCAGCATTTCCCATGCACTATTCTGAGGCTCTGTTTCCAGATTCTTACCTTTTACTGGACCTTTCAATGACACATCCCACCAAGACTTGGTTCCACTTTGCTCCTAGGACATCTGACTCAGCCCGGGGTTTTCAGTGCCATCCATTTTCACACCATCGCAGAGCTGATCCGTACCTTCTCTGAGCTTCAGGCAGAGAGAGACATCCCTGCCTCTCTAATACCTCAACTTGAAACCTACCAGGCTCCTTGAACCAAGCCAGAGCCTTTGATTTTCCCCTCCAAAACCATTCCTCTGCCTGTTATTTCCATTTCATTTTGTGTTTACCACATCCATCTGTTATTCAAACTAAACACCTTTATTCTCTTTCCCCAATACTATAAATAAAAAAGATGTATTTCTTGATACTGTAAGACAAAGGAATTGTTTATTTACAAGAAAAAAATAAAGATATTCTGGAAACAAAACCAAAGGAAGTATGTAGCAATGTGAAGGAAAGGTCAACATGAGATGAGATGCAGCAGCAGACTGAAAGAATGTCCTGTACCCCAACAGATGATCTGCCCCTCTGCTTTCACTGGGATGACTTTCATCCTAGGGCTTAAGGGGACATGGTCTTCTTCCTCAGCACTATCTTCCTGCAAAGGGTCACATTTTCAGTCAGAATTATACTCCCCCAAAATGCTATTACCTCAGTAGGAAAAAAAAAGGAATTATCTGTTTTTAAAATATACAATGAAATACAGGAGTCAATTATTTTCAGACTTACCAAATGCTGGTGCACTAGAAATAGCAACTGGTTGCTGTTTCATGACAGGGGGAAGTGCAGAGGGGAGCTGATATCCTTGTAGCTTCAGTTTGATAAGCTTCATAGCTATGGAAAACTCCACTTGATCCATTCGTCCATCATTATTCATGTCAGCTAGTGCCCTGCAAACCAGCAGCATAAACTCAGAACAACTGTGACCACAAAAGAACTTTTCTCAACCATCACTCCCTTGACACAAAAATAAAATAATTAGCAAACATACCCCCGGGGAGAACAAAACAAAACTTTACCTAGCTTTGGGAAAGGTTGTTTATGAATATAAGATGTTTTTTCCTGTTACTCTTTACCTATTATCATATAACAAGTAATTTTCTAAAACGAGTGGTGATAGTTGTACAACTCTGTGAATATACTACAAACCACTGAATTACACAGTTTTGTTTTGTTTTTTTTTTGTGGTACTGGGGCTTGAACTTAGGGCCTTCACCTTGAGCTACTCCATCAGCCCTATTTTGATGAAGGGTTTTTCAAGATAGGATCTCACAGAACTATTTGCCCAGGCTGGCTTCAAACCATGATCCTTCTGATCTCTGTCTCCTGAGTAGCTAGGATTACAGACATGAGCCACCAGCACCTGGCTGAATTACACAATTTAAATGGATGAATTTTATTATGTGAACTACATTATGATTAAATCTGTTAGAAAAAAAGGATTTAGAAATAGTATTATTTTTACACATACTTGGTTAAATTATACTTACTCTGTGCACTTCTACAAACTTCAACATGGGAGTTGTGACACTAAGCTATCTTCTGCTACACTACAGTACACTATGAGATAATACTACTATACTTCTAAGTTTTCTTTTCTTTCTTTCTTTCTTTTTTTCTTATAGTACTGGGGCTTGAACTCAAGGCCTTCACCCTGAGCCACTCCACCAGCCCTTTTTTGTGATGAGCTTTTTCAAGAAAGGGTCTTGTGAACTATTTGCCCAGTCAACCTTCAAACTGCAATCCTCCTGATCTCTTTTTTCCTGAGTAGCTAGGATTACAGGTGAGAGCCTCCAGCCACCTGCCTCTAAGTTTTCTTTAAGAGCCCTACCCAGCTGGGTACCAGTGGCTCACGTCTGTAACCCTGGCTACTAGGAAGGAGAATCAAGGTTTGAAGCCAACCCAGGCAAATAGTTTGAGGAACCCTAACTCAAAAACACCCAACACACATATAAAAAAAGGGGGTGGAGGAGTGGCTCAAATGATAGAGCGCCTACCTAGCAAGCATGAGATCCTAAGTTCAAATTCCACTACCACAGGAAAAAAAAAAAAAAAAGAGCCCTACCCTGCACACTCAACAATATTGAAATTTGAACTTACAGTGTGCTTGCTATTTGAAAATGATACTGAAACATACATGATCCAAGTGCATGAAGTATTTTCTCTCAAAGAAAAGTAAGCAAACTGCAAGAAAAAGGGTTTGTACTTGCAACTGAAACTACATTATACAACCAAAAGTACATATTCATGACTTCCATGAGAAATGTTTATTTGGACTTAATTTCTTTTAAGCTAGATATGAAAAGTATGAAGATTTATTTTTTAAATGAATCTTACAAAATATCTTATTTGAAACATAAAATAAGACCAGCTAATCCAATTAAAGTGCATGACTAGCAATCTTTTAAACTGGATGTGAGCCACATCCAGTTACTGTCCCAAAAAGACAAGACAATTGCCTTGAAAATAATCCTATATAGCTGGAGTTCAACTGTAAAGAAAACAACACAGCACAATAAACAGCACAGCCTAAAACAAAGATTAAAAGTTTCTAAAAGTTGCATCATTTGCAAAAGTCAGCATGATTATTTTGGAAAACAAAAACAGATCCCAAAGGAGGAAATGGAGCCCCAGGTTCCTCCAGCAGCAGTGAGCCTGACTGTGCAGGCTGCACTTCCCTCATTGCTAGTAAGTGAGCAGTGGGACTTGCTGCGCTAGGGATTGCTGCTTCTACCCTTTGCCAAATTTTGTGATGGAATGCATGTCTTTTTCTTGTCAGTTTCTAAGCATTCTTTGCATACAGCATATCAACTTTTGTGATCTGTGGAAAGATTTTAAAAAATTCATATTACACAATTACACAGTATAATATCTTTACTGTATAGAAACTCTACATTTTATATACAAAGTATTTCTTTTATCACAGTTTATAAGTTTTCAGCTCCTGATTTTCTAAGATTGTATTATTTTATTACATTTTATTTAATCTTTAAAACAACTTTCAGCAATATTTATTAAATAATCCATCCTCTTCTCACTGAACTAAAGTTTTGTTACATGTTAAATGTTCATGTGAAGTGAGACCTATTTCTGGATTACCTTTTCTGACTGAGCAATTCCCAGGTCAATATGACAGTGATCTGATCACAGTGGCTCTATGACAAGGCTTTCTTCCTTTTTTAAAAAAAAAGACAAAAAACTTTTGTTGGTTATTCACAGATGCTTGCTTTTCCCATTTGGACTTTAAGATCATCTTGTCTACACATAACCCTACTGGGTCCAAAGCCGCATTAGATTCATATGATTTTTAGAGAACTGATGTATGTGTAAATAACAGTCTGACCATCCAGGAAAACACTGTATTGATATTTCATATTTCTTCATTTTAGTAATATGGCATTATTTGCTTCATGTAAGTAATAAATTTTTTTTTTTGGCCTGGGCTGACTTTGAACTTCAATCCTCCTGAGTAGATAGGATTACAGACACTGGTGCCCAGCAGTAATAAACTTTTATTCATAAATATATTCTAAGGAACTTTATCATTTTTGCCAGAATTTTAAGAAAAATATTTCCCCCAGTTCCATTTTAGGTGCTTATTTCAAGCATAACTTTTAATTTTTTAAGCTACTTATGCTGTGTTTAGCTCTCTTACCAACGTCTATGACTCTTACATTAACTTTTCACACATAAATCTGTTGGTTTTAGTAAGCATACAATCACATAGCTAGAAAAAAAATCCTCTTTCCTTTCCAATATTTATACCATCTTCTTTTTCATTGGTCATATTGCATCGAAGATACTATTGAATGCCTTCCCACTTGGTTCTGAGTTGAAAATGAAATGGCTTCAGTATTTCACTGTTTAGAATGATATTTGGCAGTGATTTGTGGAACACAGCCTGACACTTAAATAGTTTCCTTTCTGCTTATTAGAAAAGGCTACTATATTTTTTCTTCCAAAGTCCTAATTTGCATCTGTTTATTGATTACAAGTTTTCCTTTTTCCTTTGGTCTGATATGAATGTTGATACAATTTCTTGATTCTGAACCAATCCTGCACCTCTGGCATAAACTCAAGTAAGTCATAGTATTGTGAAACTCATATATTGTAAAATTCAACTTGCTAAGATTTTGTTTTGGTTTCTGTGTCTATGTTCATAACTGAAACCAGTGTCTAATTGCTTTATTTTTGTATTATCTTTCAGGCTTTATAAAAGGATGTTAGGAAAATAAAATGAAATATCAAACCTTCCTTCTTTTGCTAAGTATTTTTAACAAGATATCGAGCTATTTCAAATGCTTTCATGGTAGAAAACAGCTCCACCCATGTTAATAAACACCAAACATGTGTACTTGAGTATTGATTTATTTTACAATAAATAATCAGGCAGATGTCCACCCCCTTTTTCCCTCACTGTTCCCAAAATGTGTTTTCTGGTAAAAAACAGAAATATCCAATGTGGAATTAGTGGGTTAGGGGAGAAGAGGCTTTCAAGGAGTAATTTAGTTAGGATAATTTAGTGTTTCTAAAAACCTTCCCAGCAAACACAACAAGGGGATTGAACTTTGATCACAAGATAAAAGCAAGTGCACACAAGGGAGATATGAGGATAGGTAAGACACCTAAAAAATTAGCTAGCATTTGTTGCCCTCAACTCAGAGAAACTAAAGCAGATACCTTAAAAGCAATTGAGGCCAATAGGAGAAGGGGACCAGGAACTACAGAAAAGGTTAGATCAAAAAGAATTAACCTAGAAGGTAACACACACGCACAGGAAATTAATGTGAGTCAACTCCCTGTATAGCTATCCTTATCTTAACCAGCAAAAACCCTTGTTCCTTCCTATTATTGCTTATACTCTCTAACAAAATTAGAGATAAGGGCAAAATAGTTTCTGCTGGGTATAGAGGGGGTGGGGGGGAGAGGGAGGGGGCGGAGTGGGTGGTAAGGGAGGGGGTGGGGGCAGGGGGGAGAAATGACCCAAGCATTGTATGCACATATGAATAATAAAAAAAATTAACATTAAAAATAAATAAATAAATAAAATGAAATTTAAAAAATTAAAACCTTCCCACTCAGTGCCTCCATGGGCAAGGGTAAGAAACATGTAATCCTCAGATTCTAGGAGCTTAACTTTAAACCAAGTAATACAATTTCAATATTTGATTGAGAGATTGGTTATCAAAGTTTTTTCTCAACTAAAAAAATATAATTGTTGTGACTCCTTGGAGTTAGAAAACTCAAAAGGAAATTATGGAAATATAGTTAACTCTTAAACAACTCAGCTCTCCATCTGTTTCCTCCCTCTGCCCCAATACACTAGAGTAGGGTGGTAGTCTATCTCTCAAGGTTTCTCTGCAAAAAATTCTTCACTTTATCACTCATTTCATTTCCCAATCTGGTTATTTCTTCAGTTAACTTGTTTCTACTAATCCCCCAGAAGACTAAACTGGTAATACTGAAATTAAATATACAAAAAGACTTCCAAAGTAAAAAATACATACTAAAACAGGAAACAATTGCTGTATATGACTCTTGAAGCAAACTGATTTTAAAGATGGTGTTTATCCTGATATTAATGCTGTACATACAACAGACGTGATTGAAATGAGAAAGGGAACAGAAGTATGCTGGGTACCAAGAATAGGCTTTTTTATTTGATTTGAACAAACATACCATAAATCACTCTTATATATTGTTGGTGACAAAAAGTACAGGAGGTCCAAATGGAAGGGAAACAATGTAAACATTTACTTTTTGACCCTGCAATTATGCCCCAGAGTTTACCCTGAAGATACATTTCCAACAACACAAAAGCACATATGAGTAAGCTCATTTATTGCTATATCATCTGTAATCACAAAATATTGGGAATAACCTAAATGTA